TCTTTTTATTTTTTTTTTTTTTTTTTTTTTTTTTTAACTAATAATCGCGATATTTTTAACACATTGCAGCCGCTCAGGCAGCCCCAGATCTGCGGGCCTCTAGGGCAGGGGTGTGTTTGCATATGTGTGTGTTTGTATATGTGTGTGCTTGTATATGTGTGTGTTTGTATAGATATATGTGCGCATGCCCATATGTGCGTGCGCGTGCACCCCTTGCACACCCCTCTGGCCCCCTGCTCGCACGAACACACCTACATGGGGGTTTCCTGGCAGGTTGCACACGCATACACACGCGTGCAGAAATGCTGCGCTCCAGGCCCCCATGCAAACACACACATGTGCACATGCACAGGTGTGCAAACACACACGTGTGCAAACACACACGTGTGCAAACACACACGCAGCAACCCCCAGCCCTCGCTGCGGCTGCCATGGAGGGTGCTCGGCACCGTGCAGGACGTGGCCCTCCCCGAGCGCCTCGGCTTTGGCTTCCCTCCCGACGTGGGCTGCTGTTATTCCAGATTTACATCTCCCCAGGCTCTTATTCGCCTTATGCTATTTTTTCCCCATGAATGCCTTTTGTTGCTCTTGTTCTTTCTAGAAGCGTGAAAGGTGCCGGGTTTGCTAGGTCCCCCCCTTCCTTCCTTCCCGCGGCTGATTTTTTTTTTCTTTCTTTTTTTTTTTTTTTTTTCAATACTTTGTGTTTCTGCTGGCATTTTGCATCTGATTCAGAGCCACAAAGTGGATCCTGGAGCGCGCCGGCTGTGCTGGCTTCTCATGCGATGGAGCAAGCAGCCAAACCGAGAGGGAAAACACTGCAGTTGGCTCCGGCTTTCAGTCATCTGAGTCCATGGCTCCTGCCCCAGCTGAGATGAGACCTGGGCACCCTAAATCCTGTGGATTCAGCAATGCGGGATGTCTGGGTAAAGGATGGGATGTTGCTCAGAAGGATCCAGCTCCTTCTGGGGCTGCCCCAGCTCCGGGTGAATTTTCCAGTGAAGTTGCTCACGCGGGTGAGAGTGGTAGAGAAAGTGCGGAGGCTGCTGCTTTTCCTGCTTAATTGCCTGGGGATTTCCAAATTCCCGAAGGGGAGCTTTGATTTGGAGCCAAATCCGGAAAAGCAGCAACGGTTTTGGGGGAGTGGATATCGCCGCTGGAATCGAGCGCATCCCTGCTGGCTGGAAGGGAGGGATTTATCCAGGTGATCTGGAAAGGGGCCCTTGGGTTGCAGAGTCTGTGACAAAATCAACATATATAAAATAAAAGGAAGCAAAGTCATCGCAGTGCCTCGGGCAAGTTGCCTTTGAAGGTGCTTCCCGCATCAGGGGCCGCTTGACAAGAGTTCCCGGCGGGTTTTGAGCCCCCCCAGAGCCCCCCCAGCGCCGCCGTGTGCGATGAGACAGGGACCTGCCGCCGCAAGAGGTCACGGAGAGCAAAACCGCAACCAGGCTCTAAATGGTACCAGCGGCTGCCGCTGAACTGTTCCCGGGATGGGGCGCGCGGTGCCTTGGGTACGGCCTTCGGGAACCTGTGGCATGGGGGTGGATGCTCCTGGGATTCCCGGCTCTGTTCGTAGGCGAAACGGTGCTGTTTGTGCTCAAGGGAGAGGAGACGGGGAAGCTGCCATGGGAAGACCAACCTCAACCTCCTCTGTCTGCTTCATCCTCGCCATGAGCCTGCAGGGAGCCGGGGAAAGGGCTGGCACCGGATATCCCGCTGCACCACGTGGCATCGGGAAGAGGAGCTGGTGGCCAGGGCAGACAGGAGGAGAGGGACAGGCAGAGGCAGCTGTGCTCATTGGAGAAGGAATTAAATTTTCCAAAGGGATGGGCTGGTTGACGGCAATACGGGGAGGCTGGAACTGCATTTTCCAAAGGGATGGCTTGAGAAGTGCTTAATGGCAGTATAAAGAGGAGGAGAAGGGGAGCACAGCACTCTGCAGGCCAAGATGCTCCCTCTGCAGAGCTGGGGACACCTTTCCGACTGCGAAACCTGCACCTGTGTGCCCACAGCTGGCCCCTGGGGAGGAACAAATTCCCAGGTGCTTTCTCCCATCCACTGGTATTTGTGGTTCATGGATCTGCTTTGCCATGATTTAGTCCAGACGCTTCCTGAAGCCTCAGCTCAGTGACGAGGTGCGTGTTTGATGAAGGAATGGGTCTTGCTGCTTGTTGGGAAGCTGCCAGGTTCATTGGATACTCATGCTGCATTAGGGCTGGATGCATGGGATGGTCCCAGGAATGGAGGTAGAAATTGAGGGGTTTTGTGTCTCCGGCATTTCCTTCCTCCTTCCTTGGTTTTGAAAGCACAGGTACCCGGCACTTCCCTCCATGCTCACCTCCCCAAACACTTCTCCATTGCCTCCAAGCCGGCAGTTTTGGGAGAGCCTCCACGCAACCCCGTGTGCATGTGCTAAACCTGCACGCTGCTTGCATGGGGCCTCCTGCCGTACTAGTCCTTTCCTCCTGGCCATCAAAACCTCTCTGTGGCGATGGGTGAAGCTGGGAAGTTCTTCAGAAGAGCCTGCTCCCAGCAGTGCCAACATCTCCCAATGGCTCCTTTGCAGGTGAGAAACCACTGCAAACCTCCGAATTACCTTGGGCAATCACTATCTTGTGGAGCAAAGCAGCTCCTTTACGCCACTGCCTGAAGGAAAAGGGTCGGAGAAGGGAGCAGCATCCACGGAAGCCTGCAAAGGAGGATGGCAGCATGCGACGGAGCAGTGATCCCTCCTGGGAAGGCCCCTGGGGACAGGGCGCTCTGACCGGTCACTGCCCAGGCGCTTGATCCCATCTCGTTGCCTTCGCTCTCCCGCTCTGATCGCTCTGATGATTCCCCGTTCCAGGAAAACGTGGAGAAGACATCGCTCTGCATTGCCATGGCAACTGGCACGCCACCAGCCGCGCGGCTCCGCTCTGGCCCTATTCCTGGCGCTGCGCAGGGGCCGGGAAGGTGGAGACCTCCATCCTCTCCGTGCTCCAGCCCCGTTGCCTTCCTCTGCTTGATTCCAGAGGCTCCCCAATAACAACATCAAACCCGGCCTCGCCAGCAGTGCCAGCTCTCCACAAGAGCAGTGTTCCTGCTCTCTCCTCCTTCGCGTTTCCCTGCTGCAATATTTTTAGCAGGTGCTTTTTTGGGCAGGAAGGGCAGGAAGGTTGATGGGGCTCAGGCTGGGCAGGGCTGAGGGATGCAAGGACTGTCAGGAGGATCTGCTGGGCAGCCAATGGGAATGATTCCCAGGAATAAACTGGAAGAGGACAATTTTTTTTTTAGCAATTGCCTTGGTAAAAATATGCCCGCCTTGCCACGCATGGGGTCTTTTGACTACTGCACTTTTTTTTTTTTTAACTTGACTTTGGTTTATTGGCTGGAAGGCTGCAAACTCTCCCAAGCCAGCCAGCTTTCCAGCTTGAATGAAATGATTCATTGAAGCTCAGACTGGTCTTCACCACTCATTACCAGGTTGATTCTTAATCACCTGCAAAAAAATCTGTGCTTTTAAAAATGAAACGTTCTCTAAACCAAGCTACTGGACTGTTTCACATAGAAAAAGGCTGAAGCCAAATGTTTTGCACTTCTTTTTCTTTTTTTTTTTTAAGTTTCTTTCAGTGCTTTTTCAGCTGAAAATCACAGCCTTCGTGTTTTTCCCCTAGGCCTCCTGGCATTACGCTGCAGCGGCTCTTTGGCTCTGCCAGCCCAGTCCATCACGTGCAGGGAGGCAGTTTGCAGCCCAAAGCTGTCCGAGTGAACCAGTGACCCAGGCCAAGGGGCTGGAGTGGACCCTGGGGACCCAGAGACCTTCGGACACAACTGCGGAGCCTGAAAGAAGCCCCTTGTTGGAAAGACACCAGGAGGTTCCACCCTTTGGAGGATGCAAAATCCATTTGCTACTTGAGCTGGGTGAGTTTCAGGCTCCAGGCTCCGTCCTTGCAGCCGATATGGTGAGATGGTGGATATGGTGGAGGTGACAGATATAGTGGAGGTGATGGATATGGTAGAGGTGATGGGTACAGCAAGGTGTACCAAGGACATCTGCCCCGAATTGAGCACAGGTGCTGGGGCAATTGGCCCCTGTACCACCAGTGTCGTCAGACCGAAAAGGAGAGCAGCCTGGAAATCAGATAAGGAAGTTCATTAACAAATCATTAGAATAAAATCCACTTCAAGGGAGCGGACATGAGAAAACAAGGCGGCTGGGGAGGGAGGAGAGGGGCCCCCGTGCAGGTTTCCTTGCTCAGGGAGAGGAAGAGCCCCGAGGCTCTGGCTGCCTTTGCTTTGTCTGGACCCATCCCTTTCTTGATGGGCACTGGCCGAGATCCGTGCCGTGTTGTGGATTCCTAAGGGTGATGACGATTCCCAAGGGGCTTCCTAGACAAACCTGGAAATAATAGCACTCTTTTTGGACCCACCGACACCAAACTGGCTGAGGACGGGCAGAGATTGGTGCAGAGGCAGGAACTAATGCGGTTTGTCACATCCCACATTGCTTTTCCAACCGTGGTCCGAACCACCTCCTGCAGCTCTTGAATCGTGCTCAATTAGTGGCCCCTCTGATCGCAAAGGGAAGCCGGCCGGTGCTTGCTCTGAGATGAAATTATCCCCCAGCTTTTCATTAGTTACTTGCTTCCTTGACCAGCTTGCTATTCTTCTCAGGAATGCTTCCAAGAATTGGGAGAGATGCTCCCCTGAATCATTAATCAGAGCAGCATGATGATTTATTAACTCTCCTCTCAATGAAATAAAATCATCAGCCTCCAGAGTCAGCTTTCTATGCCATCAATTCTTCCTCCCAAGTAAATTTACAGGCTGTCACTGGTAGCTGCTCGAGAAGGCAAATCCATCTATCAACTTCTGATTTGTTGCTTGTGTTTGGAAATTACTAATTGACATTTGTATCTGAAATACCAGAGTGAAATAATATCTTTTTTTTACTAGTATTAATTACGTTAATAAAAGTTAATGATATTCATGCCAAAAGTTGGAAGTGCGTGGAAATTCATGAAACTCTTCCATTTAGCTACTCTGGTCTCTTGACATGTAATTAGGAAAAGCATTAAATACAGTGCTCTGCAAATTAACATAAGTTGTATCTACAACACAATTCCTCAATTTAGCTATGAAAGAAGCACGATTTGCCATCTCAACTGCAAAAAACTGGCGGTTCAACCCAGGCTTAAACTGAAAAAAATGTCATTTTCAAATGTATATATCAGAGTGCACAGGAATTTTTTACCCCAGGTCACTTTCAGTGAAAAATATCATGGGAGAACACTATTTTTGCCTACCTTTAAATAACTCTTAACCTGCATCTTGAGGTAAATTGCTGCCAGAACCTGCAAGGACATAGCAAGGGGGACGTGACAACATACAAACGCCCCTTGGACTTTCCTCTAAGCCTCCATCAGTGGCCATCATCCAGGGACAAACTACCGCTCTGGAGTGCTCTTTGGCTTCATTTGGAAGGACCAAACTTACGTTTCTGCTTCAGGCAGAGGCGCCTTTGCCGTGACGAGGCAGTGAGGTTGTGTTTTGGGGTTGTTGTGTCGCACATCTGCACTCCGGTGCCTCATCCAGGTTGGCAGCGCGTTGGAGGCCTCTCCTTGCTGCCTGTTCATGCTTGTCACCAGGTCCAGGCCAGAGCAGCTCCATCCAGGGGAACAACAGGCTCCTGGAAATCTGTGTGTGCAGAGCACAGACAACAAAGTCATGCCAGGCCAGCTCCTTGCTTCACGGCCATGTATCACCTTACTGGGATTAACTTGAACAGGGAGCACATCACTAAATGCTGCCGTGGGAAAGCGGAATGCAGGCACTAGCCTGAGCTGGAAAGCGAGGCACAGGGGCTGGAACTTTCCTATGAACATATGAATCACCATAACGTCTCACTTCAGCAATAGTATTGACAAGTAGTCTGAAAAGCAGTAAGAAATAGAAACTCTTTTTAGGAATGCTCTGGAGATGTTCTGCTCCTTTTTGATGCCAACCAAAGGGTCATTTCACTCCCTTGCATCTGCCCAGGGAGGGATTCCAGCAACACCTGGAGGGCTTTGCCTTTGGCAGCAGTGGGATGGGGTGATGGAAGTATAGGGAAAGTGACAGCAGCAGCCAATCCTGTAAATATTCCTGAGGTCTCTGGCCAGAAGCTGTGGAGAATGGAGTGCTCCAGCGTTTGACGGTGGTCCCAGGACACTCCCTACTCTTCGTGCCCACATGATGAACAGTCTTCTGTTGCCCCAGCTTTCTACTTCAGCTTTCAGCTAGTGATTTCACTTCACATTTCAGCTCTCCTGGTCCCCAAGCCTTCCTCAGCGTGCGTCCTCTTCCCATCAGTGCCTGTTAACACTCGGTTACGGCAGTTCAGATGCAGGGAAATCCACCCCAGTCGACGAGTAGAGCCGTTAGCATCAGTTGCACAGTTTATATCCAGCTGTAAACAAGCACGGCAGCTGAGAAACAACTAGGGACCGAGAACCAGGATATCTCACGAGGTCTGCAGGCAGTCACTAACAGTGTGTTGTGCCATTTATAAAGCACATGGTACTTGGAGCAGGAATATCGGGCTGTGATTGCAGCCACATAATCCCACAGCACAAACGACAATTTGACATGACTGGACGTGTGCGAATGGACTGATAGGAGCCACTTATATTCTGGGGAGAAGCA